CCTCCCCCCCCCCCGCTCTGTGCCCTTTTCAAACGCGCGGTGGTCCTTGCTCTCGCGCCCTCCACATGGAGGAACGTAGGTGCCCTCTTCTGTGGCAGTGCCGAAAAGTCCTCGGTTGCCCAGAGGCGGACCGGTCAGATCGGAAGCGCCGGCGCAGCGCCAGTGCCCGAGCGATGCTCTGCTTCTCAACCTGCTGTTCTGCTTGAGCTTGCATCCCTGGGGATGGGTCTGGGGGAAGAGACCCATGGTCTGCCCCCTCTCTGAGGCTTTCCCTCACTCCTGATTGCGTGGCTGGCCCCAGCCCCCTGATGGAGCAGCCTGGATGAAAGGCCCTTCCTGCTCCTCTGCCAACGGATCCGCTTTCGTCCAGAGGCTGACTTGGGCATTCTGCAAGACCGGGAGCAGGCCATCCCTGCCCGGGCTTGAGAAGCAGAGGACCGAGGCGGCTCCAATGCCTCGGCCATCTGGCAGAATTGGCAGCCATGCCTTTGGAGGCCAGGGAGCCTGCCCTCTCCTGCAGCCCCCCTGCGGTGCAGGGGCCCTCTGAAGTCCATTTCCGAGTGGTTCCCAGCTAAGAGCTGGCCAAGTCTGCTGTTCAAGGACAAATTCAGGACAAGTATCAAAAAATGCACTGCTGATATCGGGCGGAGAGCCATTGGGTGTCCCTAAAACTGCTTGTGGGACATGCAAGGGAACAAGAAATGTGCACGGAGGGGAGATTCCAAGAGCCAGCTCCTCTTTTCCCTGTGGGTGCCTGCAGAAACCAGACTAAGTCCCCCAGGGGGATGGGTCTCCTTTTGACCGTCCTCCTCTGACTGGGGCACACATGAGGATGGCTGAAGAGAGGGGCTGGGTGGGCTTCTGAATGCAGCCAAGGTGGGTGTTTTAAAAATAGATCTGATAGATCTCCTGTCCTCCTTCCCCAACCCAAAAACACCCAGGGACAGGAGCAGCACAATGCGAACCAAAGATTTTGAAACCCAACCGCCCAAGAGAAAACTCTGTGGGCCTCTTGACTCCGTGGGCCGAGGAGGGCCACTTTTCCTTCCCCATCCACGGCTCCTGCGGCATGCTTCCTCTTCCTCTTCTGCTCTGCCAGGAAGGGAACAGGAAGTCTCCTCTGAGTTGAGACTGAAAGAAGCAGCTGGGGAGGGCTCGGCCTTCCCCACTGCCCACCAGCACGGCCAGAGAGGCACTTAAAAAGAGGCCCGTCAGCATCTTGGCTGGCAGGGGGCCCGGCAGGAGCCCTGAGGCAACACCTGGCCGACAACCCTGGCTCGAAGGAGCAGCGCCGGCACTGCTCCCAAGGCTTGGCGGGGGGTCTTCTTGGCTTAGCCCGCTGCTGGCCTCGCCTCCTTTTCTTAGCTTATCGCTAGCAAAGCCAGAAAACGGGCTAGCTCAGAAACCAGGCTAAGCGTGCTGTGCGAATGCCGTAGCGTGAGCGCAGGATCTCTGGATCAGCTGGCCCTGAGTCCTGGAGGAAGTTCCTCCTTTACGCTTGAGTTCAGCCACTCCATCGGTAGCCCCAGGGAAGGACAAGTCGGGCGTGCCGTGGCTTCGTTATTCCTTATACCACTGTAGAGATGAATGAGTGTTTGTTGATGGCAGGCCCTGTTGCTCGGGTGGCTGAGGCCGTGAGAGGGAGGAACAAGAGCTTTTGGGGCAAGGAGACGTACTAGAAGCTCTTTAAAATACACCACCCCCCCGGCGGGGACAGCCGTGGCTTTTCTCCCGTCCTTTTTTGTGACCTGTTCTTGGGAGGAGACGGTGGGCACCCCGAGGCGACTGCACCCAAGGTCAGGAGCAGCTGTTGCCAGTCTCTGTCCACCTGCCTTTGGACAGCCCCCCTACCCCAAAGGTCCTCTCCACCTCAAAGCACATAGCGAGTTTAGCCAGAGGACCCCACGCGCCTTCTCTGCCTCTTTCCCACGATAGGAATAGATCTCTCAGTTGCTCATGTCTCACCATCACCCACAAAGCGGGTGCATAAAAAGCTTTTACCAGAGTTGATATTAATAGACTGGCAATGTTCCTCATGCATTTTTGATGCACGGGGGGAGGGACGAAAAAGCTGGTGGCACCGAAATGCAAACGTGAGCCCAGCCGGCTTTCCAGCCTGGCCGAACGAATGCCTTTGGCAGCTCTGCCTGCCAGCCACCACGGCCACTTTATGGGGCAAAGGAAGGGTTCTCCAGAGGAACAGGAATATTACCTGACAGGGCAGGGGTGGCCGGCATTCAGAAGGCAGGGAGTAGAGGTCTCCTTGCACCGGGAGCTGGCATCGGTTGGAAGATGAGGGTTTCCAGTCAAGTTCAGCACCCTGCTTTCACTAAGCAATAGAAAACCAAAAATTCTCTCCTCATCGTTGGCAGCTTGTATGCAGGTAAACTGCCTCTGAACGTGGAGGTTTAATTAGAGGCCGCTAGAATGCGTTGATCCTCCTCCATGGATTTCTCTAATGCTGCTTTAAGTTGCTTGGCTGCCTTATTTCTCTAGGGCAAATTCCTCCGCTTCTATCCCTCTTCTGCTTCTTTCTCTCTGCCTCATTTCTCCCTTCTGCGAAATGGGAGCAACCGCAGCCCTGTTTCTCAAAGGGGCAGCCAAGGCCAGTCCAGGAAGGATTGCAGAGCCAGCGGGTTTCTAAGTGCTGGGGGAATGATCGATGGACGGAGCATTTTTCAGTTGCCAGGGATGCAAACTTGGACAGAGGCTGAATATTCTTTTTTATTAGCATATATTATTCATAGAGACCCATCAAGGAGCACAAACAGTGCTCGAAGGCGGGGGCCACTGAGGAGAGCCTTTAATTGATTGCCCTTGGCCATTTGGGCATCCTGCAGCAGGAGTCGCGTGGTCTTTCCATGCTTCTCTGGAAGGAGAGCCAGCGCCCGTTGGCATCCCGGGGCCAAGAAAGCAGGCGGCCTTCAAGGGGAGAACGGGCCGCAAAGGATGCCAGCTCCCATCGTCCCCGGGCAGCAAGGCCAGAGAATGGCCCAGTCAGGTTGAGAGTCGGTGGGGCAGCGGTCAGAGGGTCGGGCTAGGACTGGGGTGACCCACGGGAGCTCCCTGGGGGGGACTTGGGGCCCGTCCAAGCAGGACATGAATCTAATAAACACGAGAACGGGCCCCTTGTGGTGGGGTGAGGAAGGATCAGGTCCTCCGGCCTGGCGTGAACCCCGACAGCGGAGAGGGGTGACTCTTGACTGAGGGGAGGGCAGAACTGGGTCAAAGATGCTGAAACCGTTTTCACAGCCATGTCTGCAAAGCTCCAGCCGGGGGTTAAGCTCCCCCCACCCCAGCGGAGGCGTTTTTAGTGAAAGTCCGGATGGGCCTAGCTCAGGGCAGAGCCCACGTTTTGCACGCAGTGGAATGACAGCAGCAGCAACAGCCGTCAGAGCAGCAGCAACCAGAGCTCGGTGGCTTCTGTGGTTTTTGTGGAGTTGGGGAGCAGCAGGTGACTTGTGAGAACCGGCCTTTCATCTTCGGGGCGCCTCCGCTGGCTCGAGGGAGGGGGAGGAGGAGGTGGGTCTCCTGAGGCTGCCTCGCCATCAGCCAGGCAGCTCCATGCCGGCCCCGGACCCCTTCGTGTGGTTCCCTGGCGGGGTGGGGCACGCAGAGCACTGGCCCCTCTCCGGATGCGCGGGTTTCCCGGTGTGGCCGTTTCTGTGGCAGAGTTGTTGTATCCTCGACAACACAAGACGCAAAGGGGGTGGGGGAACAGGGTTTGGGGGGAGTCAGGTTCCAACCAACTTGAAGATCTCCCTCCCGCCAAACTGCGAGGGACGCAGGATCCAGAGATGCTCCCTGAGTGGAGCTCGGCTCTCTGCGGCTCCCCTGCTGGCTGCTGCCCCCCGTTTTTTCACCAGCTGCTTCTGCTGCCCCCCACCCCACCCCCAGACTTAGAATATTCCAGACTGTCTGGTCCAAAAACCTGTTTGCCAAAGAGGGGCAAGAGGGAGAGGGAAATACCTCACCAGACCCTTTTATTGTTTCATTTCTTTAATCGCTTTTGGTTGATCTGTACAAAGGTGTTGAAAAATATACAAATTGTACATTACGCCCCCCACCACCTGCTGAGCCAGCTCCCCTCCTTCCTGAAAGAGACCGGGAACATGGAGCCCGAATCTCTTTGCCCCCAAGCTCAGAAGTTAATTTGCATCTGATTTTTATTGTGGGCACATCTCTTCCTTCTTCAGTTTATTTGGCCAAATGACTCAGAAGTTCTCTTCCTAAAAAAGCAGAACCCGAAAAGAGTTGGGCATAAGAGAGGTTCGTGATGTGTAAGAGGCATGAGAGCAAAATCCCCTTCAGGGTGTCTGTGTGTGTGTGTGTGTAAGGAGAAGAATCACTCGGGGAACAATTTTGAATGGATGTTAACAACAAGTTTGCCGACCACTTTTCCTGTTTCTGCTGTTCCTTGCGCATGGCTGAATATCTTTGTAAATTAAACTGCTGCCCTCTAGTGATGTGGGTTTATGTACCTGAAAAGGCAAGAACATGGTTGCCAGAGTCCCCTCACAGCCAAAACCGGAGTAGAAATGCTGACATCATGTCCCCAGCCTTATAGCATAAAGACCCAGGCAGGATCAGAAGGGGGGTGTTGGTGAAGATGGCAGCCACTTTAATTCTGGCATTCCACCTTGTGCGTGCCCCCCGGATAGAGGGACGCCTAGGTGAACTCCATTGATAAGAGCAGCCTTGCCAATTAAGAGCCCCCAAAGAGCTCCGAAGCAGAAATGCAAGGATGGAGGGCAAGCGCCAAGTCTCAGGGTTGAGGTGCATGATGGGAAATTCATCTAGCCCCCAAACAGGGCTAATCACGCCTTTGGTGATGCTAGGGGGGAATCCACCCCCCCGAAGGCTGCAACAGAGCAACCTTTCTAGGGTCTCAAAAGGATTTGGCAGGGGTCGGAGTCATCCCAGGAAGGGGTCATTCTCACGAAGGGAGCCCGAGGGCAGAAGGAGAGGACCTTTGGAAAAAATTTGGAGAAATCCAGTTCTCCCCCTGCGCTGGTCAAGGGCAGATTGGAGTTTCCAGAGGGGGTATTCATGGAGGGGAAATGGTCAGACTGCGGTGAGGGCCTTGGACGTAAATAAGATCAATATAAAAATATTTTCTCGCTAGGGTCTGGTGGCCCGTGGCATTTTCGTGCAGGCCAAATGTGCTGCTGTTGTGGTCAGCTGGGTGATGTGCTAGGACAAGATGGGACGTGGGTGGAGCCTCCCAGGCAGGGCCCGCCTTGCACGAATAATGGGAAGGGCCAGCCCTTAGTCGTCGTCGTCGTCGTCGTCATCGTCATCGTCGTCTTCAGTGTTAATTTCTCCTTCCAGCACATCCTCAATCCAGTCTTCCAACTCATCTGCAGAAGGAAGGTCTTCCTCGTCATCCATGTCCAGCCACACGCTGTCAGCCTGTGAGGAGCACATCAGAGGAATGAGCTGTGGGCGAAACGTCCAGCTGGGCCGGGACTGAGGCCTCCCTACCTCTTGCCCCCCAGCATCGAGGCCTCGAGGGCCTTCTCCCCCTCCGTTTGTCCATCTCACCCCCCTCTTAAGTCTCAGTCACATATTAAGTCAGGAAAGACCTTAAGTCCCTAATGGGTGATGTAAAGTCATACTCTAGACTTTTCCCAATTTCATGCATGTGGGAAAGCACAGGCCTACTCAGCAGGATCTCCGCTCCTTGGGTCCGCTCCGTAATTTGAAAAGTTAGTGATTTCCAATCCTTGAAAAAGTTTCCGCTTTGCATTCCCCAAGAGAATGCAAGAGTCTTGGGAGAACCTTGCAAGCGAAGAGCCTCTTTCAGGCCCTTTCATGGACTTTTTGTCATTGCTGTTACCTTTCACCCCCTGCCTCTGTGACAGCTCCGGGCTATTCTCTAAAACTAGCTGTTTAAAGGCAGGTTGAGCATCCAGGGTGGTGATCGGGTGGTTTCCACAAACCTGGCCGGCTGGTTTTCACCCTGCAGTGCGGAAAAGTTTTCCGCTACCTTTTTCCCCGGGTGCATACAATGGATGGATCTGGCCTGTGTGAAGCCAAAGGGGCAGCCACGTGTTTGACCGTACTCACATCCGTTACGTTGACAACGCCAATCTGAGGCCGGGACAAGTCGATGCCAAAGGTTTTCTCCCAGTAGGGGATCAGCTGAGAAGGAAGGAAAGAGAGGGGAGCAAAACCCATTAGGAGAGCGCACCTTCTGTGGTTTTGTTGGGGGGCTGAAATGGGGGTGGGTGGGGGTGAAGCAGTATTTGAACTGTGGGGTAAAGAGCTTCCTCTTCTAACTTAGGACAGAATGCGAATTACGGCGGCTTTCCCCCCGTAATTACTTTTCCTTTGGGGTTTCGGTCTTGCGCACCATTCAGACATTGCCCACCACTTGGAAGGCTAACTGGCACTTTTAAAGAACCGGAGGCGGGCACTTGGGGCAACCCAGGCCACCTCCGCCGAGGGAACCCTGCGCAACGCTGCTCGCTTCCCTTCCGCGCTTCACGTTGCGAACTTCTCTGGCCTCGTCCTCCGGCCAGATCAAAATGCCTGAGACTTCCGCCTCCCACAAACGCCAGCCCCAGCACGTGCCCCGTGGCTCCCACCCCTGAGACCTCAGCAGGCTTTCCACGGGGGCAGTTAAAGTGATGCCCCCCCCGGGGCAGCCTGGACCTTGCCGGGCAGGGAGGAGAAACGGCGAGGCCCGAGGGGAAAAGGCGCCCACGCAGTCCCCAGATTAGCCTCTAAAAGCCCCCTTCTCTCCCCCTCTCTTCTAAAGGGAGCAGTGGACTCTTCACCAGTGGGAATTCCTCAGGATCGATCCAGATGATACTGAGGTCTGGGTTGTCTGTGTTCTCTTGGGCAACTTCTTTCAGGATCTCTAGGAACTCGTAACCGTCTGAGGCGAGAGACAGAGAGCAGAGGGGAGTGAGGGGCGGCCTTTGTTCTGATCCCCACACGTCACGTCCACCTTGCAGCCTGGAGCCCCTGAATGAAGCCCCCCGCCTCCTCCCAGCTCCCGTTTGCAGAAATCTCATTTTCTACGGGAATGGCTCAGCCCCCCGACAGCCCACGGTGGACAGGAACCGGCAGCCCCGGAACATCTTCAAACGTTCCTCATGGAGGGGGACCTTGACTGTAAGCGAGACAGATTTGACCTGCGTGCCATTTGTTTTTATGATGACCAGGGCCTGGATGAACGCCCTTGCTGTTTCATCCGTCTTGTATTAGCCTGGTGTATAGCTGGACAAATGCTGACCGACAAGGGATTTGGGAGTCAATGCAGGCAACCCGCCAAGCTGGAGAGGCTCCCGCCCCGATCTAGAATGACTTACCCGGATCGTCCTCCTCTGCAAAAGCGACAATGTGAATGCCGTCGATATCGTCCTCCTAAACAGAGGGGAAAGACAGACTTACCCTTGGTGGCTTTATTGCTCTCATTGCTTTGCTATTATTGGCAGGCCGCCCAGTAAAGGGTGACAAGGTGGTTTGCCAACCAAACCAGGGTGTGCAAGCAACAGCATTCAACTGCTCAGTATCCACAACAGCGCCGCACCCAGAATCGTGCAACCTGACAGGCCCGCTTTTCCCAGCCATGAGAGCCTCAGCCTGTAAGGCCAGCGAGTCTCCAAGGGGACTTTCGTCTGCAAAGTAGGGTCCCCTCTGGACTCATCTGATCCCTGCCGTAGGACTGGCCCTTCCGGTCCTACCCCACAATTCCCCCGACCAGGGCCTGCGCTGTAGCAGAAGAAAGGGGTTTGCTCTAAGGCAGCTCAGAGCTTCCCGTGGCTTGTCAATTAGTAATCAGGCTTTAAACGCCGCTCAGAAGTGAGCAGTGTTTTGGCCGGGCACGCCCAGGGGGCATCCTGCCGGGTTCCTGGCTGCTGCAGAGAAGCCAGCTGGTTGTGCCCTTGCACGGAAAGTTGCTCAGCATGGGTCATCAAGGGAGCCTTTCCACGGACAGACTTGCCACGTCTTGGAGGGTTTCAGAAGGAGCAAGTGGATGCCTCTGGATGTTTAAAGGTAAACCAGGGGGGGATATATTTACCATTTACTATCTGCCCAGGACGAAGTATCTGCTTTCACCAGAAATGCTGGCTTTGTACTGTTTCTATACTATTCATGGGAAGTTGACACTGGGCTTCCACACATCGGGGGAAGCGGGGGGCGGACTCTGGTTTGGGGCTCCACTTTCTGCTCAGCTGTGAAACTCCCGGGGGGGGGCTCGGGCAGGCCTGAGGCCTCCCCAGACTTTCGGGACCAGTTCTTCCTGTGCCTTTGGGGCTTGGGCTTCAGAACAACGCCCTCCCCCCATTTCATGCCTTTCATTGTCCTGGAAATTCACCCGGCGCTGCGCCTGGCTCTGGTTCCAACCGTCTGCAGCTTACATCACCCATGTATCTTTCCTTCTATTCATGTGCAAAAGTCAGCAGGCCGGCAGCACAAATGCTATGTCAGCTCAGCTCAGCTCAGCTGAGAGAAAGAGGCTGTGTTTGGTCCTCCTCTCCTTGAACCACTTCCATCCCCAAAGGGCTTTGTAACTAAAAACAAGGGCTCAGGCGGGTGGTCAGTTCCTCCTCCCTCCATGTCCTATTTCCTTTTACGTTGGATTTCTTCCCGCACTTGATAAACCTGAGACTTGGGACTGGGATGGAAGAGATAAAACTGTCAAATAAGCCAGCCTCCAGCATTCTGTCCATCTATGAGCGATGTTGCTATCCCCACTGATAAAACACTACAAGAAAGTCAATCCCGAAGCAATTGTGCCCAGATCAGTCGCGATCTAGTGTCCAGCGTGCACCCAGGTTTTCTTTCTTTTTCTTTTGGGGTTGCTCAACAGTCTCCTCCTTGACTTGTTTCTCCCCGAATTGCCACATCTCGCCCTCTTCTCCCCTGGGGAGGCAGCTGGATTATTTAATTAGTGCCTTTTCTCATTATTTTTGCTTAATAACAGAGCAGCGTTAGGTCGACTGGCAGCCCTTTCAGAAGGATCTCGTCCCAGAAAGGGCCCCGCTGGTGAATCTGGTACATGCCAAATGCTGCCTGGAACCCGTGGAGTTGCGACTGTGCACCCAGTGGGATATGGGGAGGGGGTGGCCCTGCAGTGCCTCGCCCTCCCCGCTTTTTCTGGTCTGTGAACATACCCAGGTTTCATACATGCTGTCTGGGTGGAGTTTTCTCAGAGTTGGCCTGCAAGAGATGGAGAGAGAGTAACAGAGCAGTGTGAGGGTGGGAAATGCAGCAGATCAGAGGAGGGTTCCTTTCGGGCAGGGCAATGTGGGGAAAGACCCCTGAGGATGTCATTTCCCTGGCATCGGGGGAAGCCCAAGACGTCCTAGTGCCCCCCCACCCGAATATTAACCAGCCCTGGCTCTGCTTAGCGTTTTCCAAATAGCTAGGTGCTCCTGTGTAAACGCGCACACGCTGTCATTACAAAACCCCTTAATTACAGCCAGGCCCTTGGCGTTCCCAGCTTCCAGCGGGCCGAAGCTCCTTTGGCCACCGCTGAATTTGTCTACGGTGAGTGCTGCAGTCTCCAAAAGAGCCCTTTGAAAGGATAGCGGTATCTCCAGGGGGCAAGACTGGGGCGGGGGGCCTGCGTCCATTCCCTTTGGTGTTTTTGAGCAGCTGCGGCAGTGAGACTCGGGACCGTACGTGGTGTTGCCCTGGGTATGCTCTCTGAAGGGCCTGGATGGCCCTCCTTTGGGGAGCTGGGGGGATGCTCACTCAGTGGCCTTGGGGAGCTGCTAGAGACCCCCTGCTCGGGGACGGGAGGAGAGGGAGGACCCATTTGAGGCTGCTCCCCAGCCGGGTGAGGGTAAAAAGCAAGAGGCTTTGAAACGCCGTCCTCCCTGGGCTCAGCCAGGGTAACAGTCCGGACGGCGTCCGTTCGGGGCCATGAAGGCAGGCCTGGGGGTGCATCTAATCCCACTCTGCAGCAAAGTAATCCAGGAGCTGCTGCTGCCCCCGGGGCCAGGGCACGTCTGGGCTGATGCTCGCCGCCAGCACAAGGCCACCGGGCTCTGGGGAGGGGGGCCGACCGTTGGGGCCAAATGTGTGCCGTTTCCATGGCAGCTGGAAGGAGAAGAAGGCATTTGTGCTGCTGCTGCTGCTGCTAAGACGGCTGCCATGGAAACTGATGAATGCCTCCCCATCGCACCGGGCACAGTGAGCTGCTTGCGAAGGTCCCTGCTGGAAGGGCTCCCCCGGGGGGTGGCAGCAGTGAGGCTTCACCTCTTGTGCTCCTCCATGAACTGGACAATCTCTTCCTCGCTGTTCGGCTTGTCCGGGATAGTGACCGGCTTCTCCATAAAGGGCTCATAGTAGTCAATTTCGTTCAGCTTCAGAGACAGCTTTTTTGCAACCTGCGAAGAACAAAGCTGGACAGTCAGACCTTCCTGGAAGGCGGGGTGGAGGTTTTGCCGGCCTGCCCTGAAAATGCACGACTCTAAATTATTTATTCCTCATAAGAACCAAGAGGAGGCTTTTTCATTTCTTTGGCAGGGCCAGCAAAAACGTTGCAGAGCAGTGAGCAAGCCGCCAGTTCCCACAGAGCGCTTCTTCAGGCTGGGGCAACGCAGGTGGCGGCTGGGTCTGCCAGGGGTGACCCTGAGCTAACCAAGGCTGCAGCGCTTCCCAGGGAGAGAGGCCCCCTTAATTCAGTGGGGTTTACTTCTGAGGAAGCTGACTCGGCCACGTCCTGCCCCACGCTCTTGCAGGCCTGCATCCTACAAGCAGCAAAATTCTGACTCTTGCTCATCGCCCAGCCAAAACTAAGATAATGGCATCTGGACCCATCAATTCCTGGCAAATA